CCAGCCTGGAGCAGCTGGGAGGCCACCATCTTTCTCCTCATTTGCATATTCCCTCCTGATTGGCTGGTGGGCATAGCAGAGTGATGGTTAATCTGCCTGTTTCTCTTTTATTAGTGTAGATGGGGAATTCTTTTTTTTTTTTTTTTAATATATTTTATTGATTTTTTACAGAGAGGAAGGGAGAGAGATAGAGAGCTAGAAATGTCGATGAGAGAGAAACATCGACCAGCTACCTCTTGCACACCCCCTACCGGGGATGTGCCCGCAACCAATGTACATGCTCTTGACCGGAATCGAATCTGGGACCTTTCAGTTTGCAGACCAACGCTCTATCCACTGAGCCAAACCGGTTTTGGCTAGAAGGGGAATTCTTAAGTACTTATTAAATTTTGTTGTAAATGAAAGAATATGGTGAGTAGAAAGAATATGCCTAGGATTTTATGTTGGAGACTTTTGTTTAAAGTTATGTGCTAGTACTTTTGGCAGTGTGACTTTGGAGGAATTATTTAACTTTTCTCAGCCTCATTTCCTCATCTGAAACATGGAATTCTATTTCTTGGACTTGCATGGGTTAAGTAAAATGATACATAGTGTTCCTAGTATACTAACTGGCACACATTAGACACTTAAAAACCGTTTTCTTTCCATCTCTTAATATAAATAAATTCAAATATATAATTTATATTTTTTATTATATAACATCTCCCAGCTTATTTGCCACAATTATTTTGTGACACAAAAGACACAAATGATTTGCCAGTAAGCTTAGTACTACTGATCACCTGGAAAATTTGACACATATTTACTATGGCCATAAAGTTCTAGAACTTTGAGTTGTCTTCATTTAAAAATTAAAGAATAAAAGAGAATTAAAGTACCACATTCAAGAGTTCTATCCATTTCTGATTTTAAAATCAAGCTTTTCTCAGAACAATATTTCTTCATCACCAATTCTTAAGAGGGTCAAAAAGGGATAGTGAAGACAGTCAACTAAAGCTCCCATATATTCCAGTAGTAAAACCTGCCACTTAAGAAAACTCCATATACAGCTTCCATTACCACTCTGTTCAAGCACCTCTCAGTTCCTGAGTGATGGTCTCTCTCTCTCTCTCCCTCTCTCTCTCTCTCTCTTTTTAAAAATATATTTTATTGATTCTTTACAGATAGGAAGGGAGAGGGATAGTGAGTTAGAAACATTGATGACAAAGAATCATCAATCAGCTGCCTCTTGCACACCTCCTACTGGGCATGTGCCCGCAACCAAGGTACATGCCCTTGACCTGAATCAAACCTGGGACCTTTCAGTCCCCAGGCCAATGCTCTATCCACTGAGCCAAACCGGTTTCGGCATGATGGTGTATCTTTTGAAGAATAGACTATTCTTTAAGACACTACAAATTGGGAGGAGGCCTAAGATTACCCTCCTAGTTAGTTACTCATCTATTTCTGCCCAACTGGTATGGATCTGCCCCTAAAAGAATATCAATCAGTATATCACTTCAAATTAAAGCCATATGGATAAAGTGCTGCTAAAAGTTATAAAGTCCCAAAAGAACCCTCTCACCCCCAAAATTTAAAAGATAAATTCTCCTGATTAAATTAATAGGTCAGTCCTAGGTTGCATCAATTTAAAAGACAAATCAACAGCATAAAAGTTAAACAGCAAAGTTTCTTTCTTGCTTGCTCCTCTTAAACATGACTTATTTAAAAAATAAATCTTTGTAAGCTATACAACTAATTCAGACTTAAAAGTGACTACATAAATCACTGTGAATTTTCCTATTATACATTACAATCTAATTTCTGCAATTCTACCTTAGTTTAGATCTACATCAGAGGATCTTAATCTGGGCAATTTTGTCCCTCAAGGGACATACAGCAATGTGTGGGGGGCATTTTTGATTGTCACAAATGGAGGGAGCATCTACTGAATAAGGCAGGCCAGGGATGCTGGAAAACACTACAATCACAGGATAGTTTCCCCCCAGTAAAGAATTAGTTTGGCTCAAACATCAATAATGCCAAGATTGAGTGTATATTGCCATGTAACTGAATATTTCTACCAGCTGGTATGTCTTCCTAACTCTTTCTTATCACTCCTTCCCAAACTTACTAGATTGATCTTCTCAAAACAGTGCTTTCATTACAAAACTAGAGGCCCGGTGCATGAAATTTGTGCACGGGTAGGGTTCTTAGGCCTGGCTGGTGATCAAGGTCAATTGGGGCTCTCTGGCTGCTGGCCAGGCCCTTCTTTCCCCCTGTTGCCAGCTGTGTGGCCTTCCTTCCCCTGGCTGCTTGCTACCAGCTGGGGCCTTTCCTTTGTTCATGCCGCCCCCTGGTGGTCAGCACACATCATAGTGAGCGGCTGAACTCTCAAGGGGACAATTTGCATATTAGCCTTTTAATAAATGACTTCTGTTAAAAAATCTTCAATGGCTATTTATTACAATACATTAAATCTAAACTAAGCCGAAATTGGTTTGGCTCAGTGGATAGAGCATCGGCCTACGGACTGGAAGGTCCCAGGTTCGATTCCGGTCAAGGGCATGTATCTTGGTTGCAGGCACATCCCCAGTGGGGGGTGTGAAGGAGGCAGCAGATTGATGTTTCTCATCATTGATGTTTCTAACTTTCTATCCCTCTCCTTTCTTTCTTTCTTTTTTTTTTTTAATCTAAACTCCTTAGCCTAGATTTTAAGTTCCCTATAACCTGATACAATCTGGCTAGTAAAACTTACCTCTTGCTACTCTCAATTTCCATTCTAGCCAAGGCTAGAATATTCTACTGTTCTCTTGTTCCTAAACACCATTCTCAACTCTGGGCTTTTGCTCATGCCATTTCATGCCAAGAATGTTCTTCCTCTTCTCTACCAATTCAAACCCTTCCAATCTTTCTAAAGCTTGAAGTTCTACTCCTCCAAGAAACCTTCCTGTTTTTCTGGTCTGTAAGTTTTTCTTTCTGAATTTCTTTATTATTATCTGTGCAATCAAACACATACTGACTTACAACATTATCCAATTGTTCCTGATAAGCATTTTTATCTTCCTACCAAGACTAGACCCTTCAAAAGATTAGAGGTTGTATCTCCACATTTCTATTGGCTGATTTCACAAATCTCCAACTCAATTTGTACAAGACAGAATTCTTAATTGTCCTCCTTTAAATATTCCTTGTCCACAAAGGATTCTCCATTAATAAATGGCACACCAAAATGAAATTCACACAGCCATCATGACCACTCCCATCCAATCAATAGTTGGTTCGAATTCCAAAATATCTGTTGAATTTATCTACCTCTTTCCTATTCCACTGCTACCATTTTAGTCTCTGTTATCTTCATCCTTAAGACTGTTTTTAGTTCTGCCTCCCTCCTCCCATTACAGTCTTAAAGTAGCCAGAGAGATCTGAACATCTACATAAGATCACATCAACCCTCTGATGAAAATCTTCAATAATTTCCCATTATCCTCGCAATGAAAATGGCATTATTATGCAACTCCAGCCACACTGGCCTTCTTTCAGTTTTTCCAATGCCAAGTTCTGCTGTGTCTTAGGGACTTTGCACATACTGTTTTCTCTTAATGCTCTTCAAATTACTGTTTCTTTCTCAGCCCTCAGATCTCAGTTTCAATGTTATTTGCTCCAAAAAATCTTTTTTGACACTTTGTAAGGTTTTAGAGGTTTGTTTTTAAAAAAATATATTTTATTGATTTTTTACAGAGAGGAAGAGAGAGGGATAGAGTTAGAAACATCAATGAGAGAGAATCATCGATCAGCTGCCTCTTGCACACCCCTATTGGGGATGTGCCCACAACTAAGGTATATGCCCTTGACTGGAATCAAACCCGGGACCTTTCAGTCTGCAGGCTGACGCTCTATCCACTGAGCCAAACCAGTTTAGGCTAGAGTTTTTTTATATTCTTCTGTGCTTGGCACACAGCAGGTACATAACATTCTCTCAAATTTGATTTTTCATTGAGGCTGCTTCTTAACTTTTTGTCATTTTGCATTACCTCTTTTGGTGGTCCAATTACAAATCTAATACCTGGGCTTGAGTCAGGAATCTTCTATTATTAGGTGTCTCTCCTAACATCGTATTTTTAAAAAATATATATATTTTATTGATTTTGTACAGAGAGGAAGGAGAGAGATAGAGAGTTAGAAACATTGATGAGAGAGAGTCATCGATCAGCTGCCTCCTGCACACCCCGTACTGGGGATATGCTCGCAACCAAGGTACATGCCCTTGACCGGAATCGAACCCGGGACCCTTTAGTCCCCAAGCCGACGCTCTATCCATTGAGCCAAACCGGTTTCGGCCTAACATTGTATTTTTAATGTCCTTCTTATGACAATTTGTAATTATTACTTTGTGACTATTTGTCTAATTCATTCTCTCTTAACAGATTATAAACATAAGGAATGCATCAGGACACTAGTCCATAAAGGAATTAAATTATTATGTATTTACAATGACTTCCTCCTCCCCATTCCCCAAAGTTTAATCTCTCAGTCTAGGTACTATGTGGCGCTCGCTGTCTTCAGGATACTACCGTGTTTCCCCGAAAATAAGACATCCCCTGAAAATAAGACCTAGCGCAACTTTGGGAGAAAAAATTAATATAATAAAAAAAATTAATATAAGACTTATTCTCGGGGAAAGAGGGTATCGGTAGACTAAAAAAGGGGCCACATACTAAACTTGAAGAGCTCAGGGGAGGCCTGCATGGAGGGCCTTACAAACTCAGAATTAAAAGTAACCACATATGCCAAAACGGTTTGGCTCAGTGGATAGAGTCAGCCTGTGGACTGAAAGGTCCCAGGTTCGATTTTGGTCAAGGCCATGTACCTTGGTTGCAGGCACATCCCCAGTAGGGGGTGTGCAAGAGGCAGCTGGTCGATGATGCTCTCTCATCGATGTTTCTAACTCTCTACCTCTCTTCCTTCCTCTCTCTAAAACAATCAATAAAATATATGTATTTTTAAAAATAACTGCATAGGTGCTCGTTTCCACAGCACATATACTAAAATTGGAACACTTACAGAGAAGATTAGCATGGCCCTTGGGCAAGGATGACATGCAAATTCATGAAGCATTTCATATTTTAAAAAAAGAAATTGTATAGGATGGTCTGAACATAATTCCTAACTAAAAGTTGAGTCATGGTGGTTAGTCACATCCTAAGCTTATAGCTTCTTTGACAAAACTCAATCTTTATCTTAATTAAGCCTGTCTATTGTTTTTTTGCAGCTAACATAACATACCCTAGGAATGACAGAGTAATCCACCTTTTTCTCAGGTTATAATTCTCACCAGAACATGAAACAATTGAACCCTCTTATTTTTATCTTGTTCTCCAAATACCATCTCTATGTGCTATAAACATTCACTGTTTACCCTATACCCGCCAATGTAAAAGAAGTATGGGCCTGTTTTCCACTTTACCCAATTTCAAAGATTTCCCCGCTTTGCTTTCTCCTGCCCTCTTCATCTAACACCAATGAATTCCATGCAACCCATGTTACAGCTCCTCCTTTGACATATTAAGAGTATAAAATTAAGTTATAAAACTGCCATTCTCAGAAACATTTTCTCAATTTGTTGAGATTTTTGCTTTCAGAAAATTATCGTCAGTTTGGCTCAAATAAACTAATAAAATTCTCTACAGGTTTAGATGTTTCTTACATCAACATGCCTAAATATAAGATAATCTACTTTCCAAAAGAGAAATCCATAACAAATGTGTTTCGTCTAACCTAAATATAAATTTTTGAATGATCAAATAGTCCGATGCCTATTGATTTATCAATTTAGATACAAATATATACTTTTAAAATCATAAAATATCTTTAGAAATTTCATTCTTTTCTATTCTCACTGAATAGAATAATTTTACCAAAATTGTTCACATATATTATTGACATCAATCAAGCCTTTTGGGGAGGGATGGTGTCATCTAACACCATTTTCCTGAATACACCCCCTTCAACATTATTTGAAATATACAATAGTACTCTGAGTCCATGTTAGTTGCTGTCCCTGTACATCTTATTCCAAGCCAAAAGCCCTCCTTCACTATATAATGACCTCTAAAACGATATTAGGTATATAGTACCCACTTACTAAACTTGCTTATTATTAAGGCGATTTTTAAAAATATATATATTTTATTGATATTTTACAGAGAGGAAGGGAGAGAGATAGAGCTAGAAACATCGATGAGAGAGAAACATCGACCAACTGCCTCTTGCACACCCCCTACTGGGGATGTGCCCGCAACCAATGTACATGCCCTTGACCGGAATCGAACCTGGGACCTTTCAGTCCGCAGACCGATGCTCTATCCACTGAGCCAAACCGGTTTCGGCAGTAAGGTGATTTTTACAAGGCTTTTTTACAACTTCACCCAACTTTTCTGTGAACTGATAAATCTATTAAAATGTCTGTTTTTTAAAATCAATTTCATCAGGTAAATTTTATAAACATCCAAATTAGCACCAACTGAAGTCTCTTAGGCTTGTGTCTTTCCCAAACAGTTATATTAAGAAATGACAGCCCTAGCCAGTTTGGCTCAGTGGATAGTGCTAGTTTGCAGACCAAAGGGTCCTGGGTTTGATTCTGGTCAAGGGCACGTACCTTGGTTGCAGGCCCCTCCCCCGCCCAGGACCTGGACTCAGGTAGGAGGCAACCAAGTGATGTGTTTCTCTCACTTGATGTTTCTGTCTTTCTCTCTCTCTTTCACTTTCTCTAAAAAATCAACAGAAAAATATACTTGGGTGAGGATTAACAAAACAAACAAAAAAAAATACCAATAAATACATATTTTTTAAAAAGACAAAATTTCTGTCTCATAATAGGAGAGATTTTTGTAAAGACTTGGGGACCAAAATTTTGCTACCACCAAATATACCTTTTTGTGATATTGATTTTAAGCTGGTTATTAAGAAACAAAAGACTCAGAACCTTTGACTCCCCTCCCTTACCCACTTAGAGGAATTCAGATAGAAAAAGGAAGGGAGCTTTACTTTATCATCACAATATAAACTAAATGTGGCAGAAACTGAGAAACCTAGCAAAGCCTGTTTGTTGAACTTCCTTCTGTGTCCCATTGTTTCTGTGTGTCCCAGCAAAAATTTATTCCCCACATGTTTGCTCTTTCTTGTTTACCTGTGAATTGCCTACTTTTTCTTTGAAATCCCAGACCCCTGCCCCCTTTGACCAAAATGGTATACACACCTCAACTGTTCAATTCATCTTTGGGTCCCATTCTTGCAGTACCACCCCATGTATACCCAAAATAAATTTTGGACATTTTCTTATTAATCTGTCTCATGCTAATTTGATTATTAGCCCACCTAGAAAAACTTGAAAGGTAGAGAGAGGGAAAAGTTGGTTTTTGGAACCCCAAGGGCAAGTAATACTTTTCTATCAGAAATAATTTGAAGGAGGAGCTATATTTAGGTTCACATGTTTATCAAACTGGCTATTCCACATTAAAACTTTAAAGAAAAAAGTCCTGGCCAGTGTGGTTCAATTGGTTGTCCTGTGCACTGGAGGGTGGAGAGCAGGAGGTAACCCATCGATGCTTCTCTCTCTCTCCTCCATTCTACTCTATTCAACACAAAACAAAACAAAACAAAACAAAACAAAAAACAAAAATCAGCCGAAACCGGTTTGGCTCAGTGGATAGAGCGTCGGCTTGCGGACTGAAGGTCCCAGGTTTGATTCTGGTCGAGGACATATACCTTGGTTGTAGGCACATCCCCAGTAGGGGGTGTGCAGGAGGCAGTTGATCGATGTTTCTCTCTCATCGATGTTTCTAACTCTCTATCCATCTCCCTTCCTCTCTGTAAAAAAAATCAATAAAATATGTTTTAAAAAAATCAATGGAAAAATATCCTCATGTGAGGATTAACAACAACAACAAACCTCTAAGAGTATTACTACCACAAATACTCTAAGGAAAATGAGGAAAACCAAGAGGTACTATCTACTAAAAAGCTACATATTTCTTTTATTCACCATGCTTTTATACAAGTTGAAATTATTAAAGTGGTTATAAGTTAGCAATACAACTAGTTTAACATTTTAGAAGGCTTTTGGGGCCAGAGGAGGCATACTGCATCAGTTCTTAAGACAAAATTACAAGAATATGAAACAAATTAAGCAACTTGAGTGCTCTATTTATCCATTTAAGGTACAGACAGCAACTTCTAATTTCATGTGAGGCCTCAAAAACAAAATCTTAAATGGGACTTTTTACTAGTAAGAGGAATTTGGATGCTAAGAAATAGCTTTAGCCGAAACCGGTTTGGCTCAGTGGATAGAGTGTCAGCCTGCAGACTGAAAGGTCCCAGGTTTGATGCCTGTCTGGGGCATGTACCTTGTGGTTGTGGGCGCATCCCCAGAAGGGGGTGTGCAAGAGGCAGCTGGTCGATGATTCTCTCTCATCGATGTTTCTAGCTCTCTATCCCTCTCCCTTCCTCTCTATAAAAAAAATCAATAAAATATATATTTAAAAAAAGAAAAGAAAAAAAAAAAGAAATAGCTTTAGGCCCTGGCCAGGTGACTCAGTTGACTGGATCATTGATCCTATACACCAGAGATTTTGGGTTCCATTCCCCGCTCAGGGCACATACGTAGGTTTCGAGTTCCATCACCAGTGGGGGCATGTATGGGAGGCAACCAATTGATGTTTCTCTTTCACATCCAATGTTTCTCTTTTTTTTTACATAGATGTTTCTCTCTCTCCCTTCCTCTCTAAAAAAATAAATAAATAAAAATCAATAAAGACATATACTCAGGTAAGGATTAGAAAAAGAAAAAGAGGTCTACGGCCATACCACCCTGAACGCGCCCGATCTCGTCTGATCTCGGAAGCTAAGCAGGGTCGGGCCTGGTTAGTACTTGGATGGGAGAAAAAGAAAAAGAGCCCTAGCCAGTTGCTCAGTGGTTAGAGCCTCAGCCCAGGGACTGAAAGGGCATGGGTTCAATTCTGGTCCAAGGCACTTACCTCGGTTGCAGGCTCGATCCCAGCCAGGGCACTTGCAGGAGACAACCCACTGATCTGTGTCTCTCACATGGATGTTTCTCTCTCTCTGTCTCTCCCCCTCCCTTCCACTCTCTCTAAACATCAGTGGAAAAAAATATCCTTCAGTGAAGATTAACAACAACAACAAAAGAAAAAACTTTGGAAACCCTGACACAACTTATAAACAGAGAAACTTCCTAAAATAAAACCCCACATTATATTAACTCAAACAATATAGCTCCTATATGTCATATGCTGGAGAAGCCAACGAGGAGAAATGGATATTTTATCCTTTGAAGAAAAATCAAGGAAATATGAAAGTCGTGATGTATTAAAATATTGACTCTTTAGTTATCAAAAGCCTATTCAGGGCAATATGAATTGTCTAAAATCGGCTTGTCAAAATAAACAAAGTCCATGACTCCAAGACAGCAGTTGATAAGAGATCAACTCTTCTAACCAAGTCAAGATCAAATGGTCGGTTGAAAGTCTCCCAGACCGGTCCATCATCCAGGGACAAGTGACTCGGTTTCTTCAGATGGCAGGTGGGTGCGGGGCGGGAAATGACCTGGCACTGCCCTTAAAGCCCCACGGGATTTCTCCCATCCCCTCAGAGAACCGTGCGTCCAAGCATACCTTGGTGTGGCGAGGAGTGTGAAATGATGGAAATACCATTTATTTGCCTTCCCTTTCCGGAATGCCATATCAACACCAACACACTCCTGGCATCTCCACCAGAGGCCACGGAAAAACAACTCAGACCTGCGGTTTCCCACCCTCTCCCCTAGCCGAGGTGTTTGAACCTCAGCCCTGGGCCTCGGGAGTTCTCTGCTGAGATCAGTGGGAAACTCACTGTGAGAAAAGCAATGTGGGGCTGGTACGTCCGCTACCAAAATAAGACATTAAAAAATGCCGATCCTCCTTTCTCTCATAAAACAAAAATAAAACCAACCTTCACCTCACCCCCCCGAAAACTTGCCCCCCCATCATGTAGATCTTACAAGCTCTAGATCAAATGTGCTTCCCAATCATCACCCTCCAGGTAACAGAGCACCTGGAGCGAGCTTTCGCCCCGA